TTTGGAACGATTTTCGTCCAAGTGGCCCTTTAAATATAAACAAAATATATATATATCATTTGAATCATTGAATGATATCTTGAAACTAACTGAAATAAATGGAAGCTTAATCTGATAAGGTATGTATTGTATCTCTACTAAAAGAGCATGACTTAATTTCTTTTTAAAAAATTACATAATTTTAAAACATTGACAACTCCTTATTCAAAGTTAAATATAACCCATCTTTTAAACGAGAATCAAATTTGTTAAATGTCCCTGCACCCCACCCTCCGTGGGGATTGGTATGTACGTTTTTCCACTCGGTGTAGAAGGAGCCGGAATAAACCAGGTAAGACTTTAACATTGATTTTTCTTGTGCAATATTTTATGTGACGTCATAGCCGCCATGTTGGCTGACATCCAAGTCAACCAACATGACGGCCATGTCTTTTGTCCTAGTGCTTTGTTTCTTCTGTATTGCAGCCAACGTGCGGGCCACGTATTTTCTCATTTATTCACAAGCATTTTCATTGTAGTAATGTTTAATATTTGTTAGGAGTATKAGGTAGTTTGATAGGTAACTCTTCCCTTGTGGAATGGTGGGTAATTTTAGCCAAGATGGCGTCTTTTGACCAATTTCAGTACTGAGACAATAAGTAATGCTAGATCTATGAGAGCTTTGATAGGCTATAAAGTATGTTTATAAATATCATAGGCTCTACATAATAATGGTCGCCATTTTGGATGACATCATAGAAGCGAACGGAGTATGTTCTGTTCGATTCCTCCAACATGGCGGCTGTTAAACTAAGTTAGACTTCCAAAAGACGCCACTCATGAAACTCGCGCGTGTCAAGATCAAGACAGATTTTATATTACGACATCGCCATGTACGTGGCTAGATGATATTGCTGTTAATACATAAAAGGTTTTTTTACTAAATGTGGCTACTCTTGAAACTGATATGCCTCTAGCTTTAGGGCTTATTTTGGAATTCCCTTCAAATGACATTGACTTAAGTTTTCCTATATATGCGAAGGTTTTTGTACCAGACTAGCTTTGAAATTGATATATATGTCTGTAATTTTAAGTCTTCTCTTCACAAGTATCTTCTAGCTAAGTGATATTGATGGATGGTTAGCATTCCTAAGGGAGTCAAAAGACAAAAACATGGCGGCCATTTTGGTGCCGTTAACAATGGATGCTAATGAGAAATCTTTCATTAAATGGATGACGCAACGTGCAATCGAAGAATATCGCGTCTCATTATTCGGGGTTCCTGTGGAACGGCCCGAGTCATAAAATGCAAGCGCTGCCGTTTTTCTTCTTAGTCGCCAAATCTGCAATTGATCACTAATGCGCATGCGTCATAGTTTCACAAGATTCTGGCTAAATGACATTGTTGCCTGTACTACCCTATAAATGTCACTAGTAGATATAAATTGTCCATAGCTTTCAATCTGATAAGTCTGAGTTTTCTAAACGTCTTTGCATGTCCTGTTGCTTTTGATGCTTACCCCGCCTCCTTAATCGGATCGATAGGGGGAAAAGGCTACTGAGGAGAGTAGCTCTTATTCGACTGATATATAACCTTGGAGTTTTAGTAAACAAGTAATTTAAGCGATTATACAAGGATAAGGCAGTCGAGTCAATGATATAATTTTTGACTTTTTTTGTTAAATTTTTAATTTAACAATGATTAAGCAAGAAATCTCAGAAAATAATATAATAATAAGTCATCGTAAACTAGTGACTAGTATTTTAATTATCGTTATTGTTATTTGAATATTTAAAAAAATTCAAACTAGGTGAGTTGCTCGTTAAACAATTAAGGGGTGCAATCTTTATTTAAGGAAGAGCCACGTACGGGGAGTGGTGCTTGTAAAATATAAATGTATTGTGTTTTGATTGACACTTTATCATACAAGAGACATTGAGCCGACTTTTATGACGACCCTCGAAGCGAAATATAATGCTGATGTAAGTTTGCCTCGGTTCTAAATCCTTGACTAGTCATATGATTTATTGGAATAGTCGTTGTATTACCAACATCCAAAGCATCTGTTTTTTCCCAAGGTCGTAAAGAGAAAATCGTTTTACTGAAGTGGTCGTCATCTCTAGGTTTTAAATTAATGCCACTGTAAAACTGAAAAAAAAAAACACGAGTACAAAAAGAAAATGAATAGAATATA